TTGTAGGCTATACCTGCTGTCTGTCAGGGACCACTTGCCCCCAGCACCCTTCCTCCTCTTGACGTATTTAGACAACTGAGCGGAACCCTGGGAAGTGAATCAGATTTCAGATGTGACAAAAATAAAAACAAATTTGGCCGCCCCCGCCTAGCTCAATGCCCTTCTCTGCCCCCCCTCCCCAATACAGAAGTCTTGCCTGTCAGTAAGACAGGAAGAAGGGTGGTGGTCACCATGGTAACCGTGCAGGCCTCTGGCTGCTCCTGGAGAGGAGGCTGCCCTGCAGGGCCTGCTTGGAAAGGGGCACTGTCCTTGCACCTGGTCACTTTTCTGCCTGGGCCCTGACAGGTGTGTGTCTGAGTGACCCTGGCATGGTGGCGTCCCAGGTGTCTCTGTCCCCACCCTGGTCCACATCCCAGCCTTCATTTTCTCATCCAGCTTGACTTCTTAAGGCTGGGGACCTGATGGCATTCATAGTCAAGGCTTTCTCTATTGAAGATGCTAAGGTCAGGGTGCCCCCTTCCTGACCCCACTGCATGCCACCAGGCCTGGACACCCAGTAAGAGCCCAGCTCGATGGACTGATGGTCACTCTCAGCTCTGCCTTCCTGGAAGGGACCTGGGAGGAGCCATGCAGGTGAGAAAGGCAAAACAGGGTCCCTTGAACATTCAATATCAGGGAACCCCAGATCCCCAGGGTGTGGCTGAGAATGAGGGGCCTGGAGCAGAAAGAGGCAAATTCTGCCCTGCCACATGCTGCCATGCTGGTTGCCTGTTTCCCTATCTGTTCAGTTGCAGCAACAGTAATGTCTACCAGGCTGAGGAACCTTACAGAAATACTGGGTGCCGAACTTGGGCCCAGACTTCAGCAGATTGGGTGATTCTTTTACTGTTTTTGTTTTTTGAGACAGGATCTCTGTAGCTCAGTCTAGCTCCCAACTAGTGATCCTCCTGCTGTAACCTCCTGAGTGATGGAATCACAGGTGTGTTCCAACAATCCTGGCTAGGGTGATTTCTCTTTGAAAGGCTCTAAACAGATATTCACTGTGAGGCTCAAAGGACTTGTAAAGGCAGCTTTCAACTTCTACTCAAGGTCACATTAAGCTCTAAGAAAATGACACCCGGATGGGATCTCTGTCCCTTCCTAGGGAGGTAGTTTTCCCGTTAAAGTCAGGAGAGTCCTGGCTCCTAAGAGAGGCTCCTCCCACTGACCTCCTAGACCCAGACCTGGGCTCTTGAGTGCTGGCTCTGCTTGCTGGGGCAGCTTCTTGCTCCACTTTGATGACCTTCAAGGTTTTTTGTTGGTTTAAGATAGAATCTATGTAGCCCAGGCTGGCTTTGAACTCACCAAGTAGTTGAGGATGACCTTGAATCGATCCTGCCTCTACCTCCTGAGTTCAGAGATCACAGGCTTGTGCCACCCCACCTGAGTTGCTGATACAGCGTGCATTTGGGTAGGAAGCTCGTTGGCAAACAGGTCACTTAGGAAGGGTTTATAACCATCAGGTATTAACCAGGCACCTAGTATATAGCAGTCAATTCATTTGTGCCCACTAACTGCCTATTGGACTCTGAGGACTTTGGGAAGCAGAAGGGGATGAGGGGGAAGGGCTAATGAGGGGTCAGGCCCCTGAAGAGCTCCCCTAGGACTGGCTGGTGGTGGGGCTGAGGTGCTGGGTGGGCCCTGCTACTATAAGGGTGTCTTCTCCTGAGCCTGCTGTTGAGCCACCAAGGAAACTGCATTGTGGTGGTGGTCACTGATCTGCTCATGGCCCCCTGTGTGGAGCAGTTGTAGGTGATAGGCATTGCCTGGTAAAGGCGGGTGGTTTTGTAAGGCAGCTGGGGCTTGGGACCCTCATGGGCTCATCCTATGGCTTGACAGGTCTCTATCTCGTTTCTCATTGGTGTGGTGGGGTCTAGGATCCCATGCTTGCTAAGGATTTCAGAGGGCTCTGTGACGCTGTCTCCCCAACAGGACCAAGAGAGACTCAGATGAAGTAGGCGAGTTGGTTGGGTACCCACTGCAGGATGCTAGTCCCAGGCTTTGTGTCTGGCTGTGAGAGGCAATGGGGAGCTATTGATCATTCCCTTCCCTTATGGGAGATAGCGTTCAAACGCTACCTATTCTGTTTCCCAGAAATCTTGTTCTACCCTCTTGGGGCCTTTGTCTTCCTTTCCATTTTCCCAGGCTTGTCCTGCCTGAGCACTGAGCTCCTTGGTGCATGTGACTAATGGTGGTAATAGCAGGTGTCAGGCCCCACCACCAAGCTGCTCAGCCTGGAGGCCCTGACTTCTGTGACAGTTCTTAGCCCTCACCGCTTGGCCTGGTTCATCTTCTAGGAGGGCAGTGGGACTGTGTCAGGCGCTGTGGGTAGTCTTGCCAAGAGCTGGCCTGACTTCTGAGCCTTGTAGATCTTGGACAGGGCCCAGGCCCTGCCATCTGGGATTTCCCCTTGTGCCTGAAGCTCACAGGGACTGAGATGGTTGCTCCATGAAGGTCTGAAGTTGAGGTGATCCAGGCATTAGAGCAGTTTTACTGGCCCCAGGGCCTCTGTGCTACGGTAAGGGTAGGTGAACTGTGGAGGAGGTAGCGGTGCTCTAAGTCTCTCTGCCTGAGCTGCTCTGTGACCTTGGGGGAGTCACATTGGATCTCTAGACCTGTTTCTTCATCTCTCCCTGATGGATTGTGGTGACAGTGAAGGTGATGTCCCTTGGGTGCCTGGCATGGTGGCTGCCAAGTTTATGACTATGATATGTGCTAGACCAGGTAGGTGGGAAAGCTGAGCACTAGTTTGCTAGGGGTAGAAGGTGCTTCACAAGAAGCTTCTGGAAGTAGTGGCAGATGAGTGGGGCTATTAAGGGTGGGCAGGGGTTTGCCTTAGAGAAAAGCTTAGCATGTGCCTGGGCCGCCAAGAGATTCTGCCAGTAGAGCTTATGGAGATCAGAGTCCAGGAGGCCTTGGGTATTGGGCTAAGCGGTGACAGGGAGCCACGGAAGGCTTTGGAGCAAGAGAGGGCGGTAAGTTGATCAATACGGCAGAGACAAAGTAGCTTGAGGGCAAGAAACGGGAGACTAGTTTTGCATGATGGTTCTGTCTCTGCAGCTGGTCATCTTGGGTAAATCTATACCTTCTACCCCCTGTCTGCTGGAGACGGGGTCTCATATAGCCCAAGCTGGCCTTGAGCTCACTCTGTGCTGAGAATGACCTTGAATTCCTGATCCTCCTGCCTCCACCTCCCAAGTGCTATTGGGATTGCAGGTGTGTGCCACAGGGGAGCAAACTCCAGGCTTTATGCTCGCTAAGCAAACACTGTACTAACTGAGCCGTATTCTGAGCCTTTTTTTGTTTTGAGATAAGGTATTACTATTATCACTCTGTCTGGCCTTTAACCTGAAATGATCCTCCTGCCTCAGCCTCCCTAGTGTTGGAATGAGAGGTGTGTGCTGCCATGCCAGGCTAATCTGTTCCAGTGTTTCCTCTTTGGTAAGTGAGTTTATCAAAGAGGCTTAGGAATCAGATCCTGGCATCACGTGGGGCCCAGTGGAGGGGCAGAAGCTAGAGTTTCAGTTACAGGAGAGGCTGGCGCTAGACCAGAGACACAGTGTGGGCTGGGAGAGGAAGGGAAAGGCATCGTAGGACAGTACACACGGCTGGGAGGAGACAGTGGCCTTGGAGCCCAACAGGTCTGGTGTAGGCTGCTCTTAGCTCCCTGTTTCCCATCTATGTGACCCAACAGGGGTCTGGATTTTCCAGAGCCTCAGTTCCCCCCATCTGTAAATGGGCCTGCTGACCCCTCAGCACCTGCTGGGTACACTTGGGCTTGGGTTTCCAGCTGAAGAAGCTGGGCTGTGAGAGGGAGGTGGGGAGGGGATGAAAGGGGAACCCGGGTACTCACTGATAATTAGAACGTTTGAACTTCAAAAAAGTTAATTAATGATGAAGTTGCTGCCAGAGCAATGCTCTGGCTCAAAGGGGGCTTGGCAGCAACTGAAATTAATTACAGGCTGTGATGGGAGAGTGGCAGCCAGGCCAGGGACAGAAAGGACAGGGATGGGGACCACAGACGACAGCTTTCAAGGTGAGTAAGGTCTGGGGAACAGAGGGGGCTGCTGTCATGGAAACCAGGTCAGTTCTCTTAGCAGGCAGGAGAGGCTTGGCTGCTACGGCTCCAGGGAGCTCTGAGCTGGGCCTGAGCTGGTGTGGCTAGGACCCACAGAGAAACTTATTCATTTGACAAGCCTTGGTCCAGCATCTACTATATGCTTAGAGCTGTGAGTGGGAATCCCTACCATCCAAACTTGGTTCTAGCAGTGGACAAAAACAATGGGATTCACTTCTGTGGTCTGTAGAGCTGTGGAGAGATGTCAAGCTAGAGGCCTCTGGGGTTGAAGAGGTGGGTGGGACTCCTTCCTCACAGGGCCCCATTAAGGATTAGCCCCAGAGGGTCTTGGGAAGAGACATCTCCTGCAAAAGCCCTGGGGTGGAGTGTGTCTGAGACCTGAGAGGGTGAGGAGGAGGCTACAGGCTGAGGGAAGTCAAGCTCTGGGAGGGGCTTCCAAGCTTATGCTGGAGAAACTGGGAGCCATGGCAGGGTTTTGAGCAGAGGGGGAGGCATCTCCCTGGAGTTTTAATGGCTCACTGAGACTGTAGGGCGGAGTCAGAGCAGCCTCTGTAGGCCTGGGAGGTGCTCCTGGATTCCTTAGATAGCCTTCCTTTAAGGTTAGAGCCTGGGACCTCTGCTGAGTGAGGGGAGAAAGAGGTCAGAGGAGGGAGGCATCAGAGGTGGGGGGCTATGGGGGCAGGTCCCTCTCGGAGCCATTTCTTCCTGTGGTTTCTTGTGGGGTATGGCCTGCGGCCTTGCCCACTGTTGGGGCAGGCCTGCTGTAGAGTCTTAGAAATTTGGACACAGTCCATTGAGGGGCCCACATTGAGAGGGGGCAGACATGAACTGTGTATCTGTTCTGGGATGTTACTATTTTGTCCTTGACTTTGTGAACGTGGTTCGAGTGTGTGAGCATGCTGGTCATCCTGCTGAACTGTGTGACCCTGGGCATGTACCAGCCTTGTGATGACATGGACTGCCTGTCGGACCGCTGCAAGATCCTGCAGGTAAGCTGCCTAGGTTTCCCCCTTTCTCCCTCCCATCTGTGATGCTCTCCCTGCCCCATCTCAGGGCTCTACTCTAATGCAGTTTCCAGCCTTTCCCATATGGGTGTCCCACCAGCCTCCTCCAAGCTTCCAACTGAGGCTCCTTACCCCATCTGATCAACATTTCTCTGCCTAAAGTCTGCTTTGGCTCCCCAGTACCTCCATGTCTTTTAGGAATGGCCTCTTATGTCTGTCCTGTTCTCACTTCCCAGGTCCTAGGTAGGCCTGACTTGGCCTTTGCATGGTCCTGGTCGGGGTGTGAGGAATCCCAGCGCAGGGTTCTGGGACTGAATCCATTTTACAGGAGTAGAACACATAGTGTCCATTCCTGGGAAGGGTGGTCCTCCCAGGAGGGAGGGCTCTCTGCCTCTGTCCCAGATCTCAGAGGCTCCTGTCTGCAGCATCTCCTAGGGGGCGTGTTTTTAAATCCACAGCTCTAGCCCATCTTAGACCCACAGAATCACAGTCTCTGGTTGGCTCTGGGGCCCTAGACCCAGTTACAATTGCTTAGAATTGAGCATTTGGAGCCACACCTGAGTTTCAGTCTTAGTCTTGTCACTTGCCTGCTTGACTTCTCTGAGTCTTGTTTCTGTATCTCTAAAGTAGGTCACCCAGTGGGTTGTCACTGTGAGAATTAGAGTGAGAGTGTAGGCCATCTGTATGGCCCAGTACTGGGTGATTCTTAGAATGAGGAGTAGCCTGGTGCCCAGCCCCGTCTTGGGACCTTGTCATGGTCTGGGCTGAGGGAGTGGAAAGGATGGGCTCTGTGACCTTTGGCAGGTTCACCCCCTCTCTAGGCCCAGGTCTGTGACGTGGGTTAGTGGACCAGGGCCTCCAAAGTTCTCTTTCTGCCCCACATCTGGCCTTACATGGGGGCTCTGACTTCCATTCCTGCCCTGAGACCTCATGCTGCCCTGTCTTGTCTTCTTCCTGACCCACAGGTCTTTGATGACTTTATCTTCATATTCTTTGCCATGGAGATGGTGCTTAAGATGGTGGCTCTGGGCATTTTTGGCAAGAAGTGCTACCTTGGGGACACATGGAACCGCCTGGATTTCTTCATTGTCATGGCAGGGTAGGTAGTGGTTGGTTTTGGTGCATGCCAACTGCCATTTAGCCAACCCAGGGGCTTCTGGGAAATGATTCTGTCCTTGTGTGGGAATTCAGGGCCTCTGGGCCAGGGGGCAGTAGAAATGGTACCCTCTGTTGATTGGCCTAGGTAGACAGCTGTCCCTTCCTGTGGCTGCAGTAAGCACATGCCCTGCGTATGCTGAGACTGTTTTATGCTGATTAATTAATTGTATGCTTTTGAGAAAGTCACTTAACCTGGCTAAGCCGCCATTTCCCTATCTATAAAATAGGAGTAAAAATAGCAACCTGGTCAAAATGAGCACCATGCAGTGTCAGCTGTTATCATCACCACTACCATCATCACCACCATCATCATCATCACCATCATTATCATCAGCATCATCATCACCATCATTATCACCATTATCATCATCAGCATCATCATCACTATCATTATCATACCATCATCATCACTACCACCATCATCATCATAACCAGTCGCCATCATCATTGCCATTGTCACCATCATCATCATCATCACTGTCACCATCATCACCATTGTCATCACCATCATCACTATTACCATTACCATCGTCGTCATCATCATTATCATCATCATTACTATCATCTTCATCACTACCACCATCATCATCATAACCAGTCGCCATCATCATTGCCATTGTCACCACTGTCATCACCATCATCACCACTATTACCATTACCATTGTCATCATCATCATCATCTTCTTCATCACCATCATCATCACCAGTATTATTACCATCATCATCATCATCACCATCATTGTCACAGTCACCACCACCATCATTATAACCACCACAATCATAATCACCATCACCATTATCACCACCATTGTCATGGCATCATCATCATCAACATTATCACTATCATTGTCACAGTCACCACCACCATCATCATTATAGTCACTCAGCACAGTCAGAGATGGAGGGAAGACATAAGCACCATCTGACCCCATCTCTGGTAATTTCTAATGAGACACAAGTGGCTTTAGGTGGGAGGATCAGTTAACCCAGGAGTTTAACAACAGTCTGGGCCATAGAATGAGACTTGGGAAAAAAAAAAAAAAAAAGAAGCAGCAAAGGTCTACAAGCCACAGCCAGAGAAGCCAGGCAGGTTCCAGTTGGAGCATCAGTCATTCCTGCTTTCCTGGACTCTGTCCAGCAGCCGGATATGCAGAAGGTTCTGTTGTGTGTGGGTGCTGCCCTGGCGGCCAGGTAAGGAGGGTAGATCATATGTAGGTTGGTCTTTCTGGGCTCGCCGCCCAGGACAGCATCCAGCAGCTCTGCTGTGGTAGGCATCTGCCCTTGGACCGGGTGTCTGGGCAGGGTGCTGTGTTTTGCTGAGAGCATTTAACCCAGGAGCCTGATGGTGCCAGGCTGGAGCTGTGGAGCTTGAGTGGTGTCCTGAGGAGGTGACACATGGAAGGTGAAGGATGAACAGGCACTAACCATGTTCAGTCATGGCTCAGCAGAGCAGGCTTGAGGTGGGGAGAGCAGAAGGCTCATGGCCGTGAGTGGGAGTGTGCCTATCAGTGTATGTGGAAGTGTGTATATACATTTGTACCCGTGTGTATTCCACCATCAATAAGGGACAGCAAGGGTCACATGCACATGGCTGAGAGGGAACCTCCCTCGAAGGACCCAGCAGTGGCTAAGTTCTTGGGCTTTGTCCTGAAATGGGACAGTTCTTGTTTCCTCTCTTCTTCTGAGCGTCCCTTCCTGATTGCACTCTTTTAGAGTCCCAGGCCCCTGGTCCCTAGGCATCCATACCCTGCCTGAAAGGCAGACAGGCTTCAGATAGTTTCTTGGGGACCAGGTCACCCCCTTTGTCTGGTGCATTCTCATTTTATGCTGGCTGAAGAACACTCTTAAGTAGCTTTTCAAAGAAAAGGCTTCAGATAGTGTCATTTTTTAATCTTGGCTGTGCAAACTTGTCTCTTTGATCTTGAAGTGGGAAGGACAGTGAGTGTCTGCTCTGTCTCAGGGTCGTGGCTTTTCTCTCTCAGAACTGGCTGCACTGTGAACTGATAACTCGGGTTACGGGGGCCTGGCATCACCCTACTCTTCTCTTGGAAGGTAATGGTTTTTTCCAGCCTGCCAGTTGGTTTGATTTTTCTCCTCTCCTTCAGAATTCAGACCTTTTCTTTGGAGTGGGTCTGGAACTTGAAGATCCAGCCTCAAGTATTCCTTTGGCTCAGAGCAAAGTTCTGTTCTTTCTTTGTTTTTCTAGCCCATTCTCTTGCTTTGTGCTTCTCGAGTTCCCATTACCTGGATCTTTCTTCCTCTGCCTGGTCTCTGCATCTTTCCCCTGTTTTTCACCTGGAACAGGAGGTAGCTCCTGGATTTAGCTTTGTGAGTTACCCCTGAACTCTCAGCAAGGTCCTCTCTCCCTTGTTGCCCCTCCTAGACTCAAGTCTCTTTCACTCTTTTTCATTCCCAAGGCATCTTCTTGCTCTTGTGTTTTTCTGGGGTTCAGAGCAGCTTGTAACTGTTCTTGTTTTATGAATGTGATATTCACCTGCATCTCCCTAGGCATACTAATGAGGCCTTGCCAAATTCCCTAGTTCTAGAAGGAACTGTAGATCAAAGTGTCATTTCCAAAAGTTAAAAAAAAACCCGAGGGCACCGGGTGCGGTGGCACATACCTTTAATCCCAGAAATGGGGAGGCAGAGGCAGGTGGATCTCTCTGAGATCAAGGCTAGCCTGGTCGACGTAATGAGTTCCAGGCCACTTGGGACTATAGGGCGATCCTGTCTGAAAAATAAACAAAAAACCCCAAAACAAAACAGAAGTTAAGAAAGGAACAATGAGCTGGAGAGATGGCTCAGAGGTTAAGAGCACCGACTGCTCTTGCAGAGGACCCAGGTTCGATTCCCAGCACTCACGTGGTGGCTACGAACCACCCTTAACTCCAGTTCCAGGGGAATTTGAAGCCCTCTTCCTACCTCTGCAGCATTGCATGACACAGGTGCGCTCACAGACATGCAGGCAATGTACTCATACACATAAAATAAATATAATAAATAAAATATTTAAGAAAACAAATGAGTTTTAAAAAAGAGGAACAACAAAACAAAGAAAAATGACCATTGTACAAGCCTTAGAGTGCCATAAATGAGGGACTTGTGGGAGAGTGGCCAGCACTATGGGGAGCAGGTGCAGGGGTCTAGTGGGAAGAGGGCCAGGGGACCGTTAGAGCCGAGTGAGGGTCTGGTGGCGGCCTCCAGTGAAGGAGCCACATTCTGGTGATGGGTGAAAGTCTTTCCTTTTGGGCAGAAATTGTGTACATCTCTGCCTGGTAAGAATCTACAAATTAACATGCAAGTTCACAGTGTCCACATCTTTAATTAACAGGAAAGAGTAATCAAACAAAAGGTATCGTTCCCTAGGCACTGAAGTAACCATCGGGTCGGTACAAGTCCTTTCTCCTGTGGCCTTGCTTCTGAGGTTTCGGGTAGTTTTTCTTAACTCTCATCTCAGGAACATCATTTGTTCAACTGGCTTTGCCCTTCCCATCCCAGAGCCCTCCACGCTGCCCTTTGGACCTAAGCCTCTGTTCCTGTCTGTTCACATTGGAAAAGAAAGACAGAACAGGGGGCTCAGAACTGAGTGAGGGTGAGGGGAGTCACTGATCTCAGCATCCAACATTTTGTGAGGGTTTCTGGTTCATATCTTTCTAGTCCTTGGGGGTAGTGTAGGTCTGGACTCTGCTGACCACAAACCCCAGCATCAAGGAGGGCTGGTGTGGGGCTGCATGCAAAGCATGCATTCAGTTTTACTGTACGAACCTGGGGAAGAGGGCACTGCACCATCACCCTTGGATCCCTCAGCTGATGCAGCTCATCGTGGCTTGGGGATCAGTTCCTCGGGGCCAGAATTATGAACACCCATGGGCTGAGCCCTGTGTTGGATGCTGAACCAGCCCTATCCTGGTCCCCAGGGTCTTCACCATCCTATGGTGTGGGTGGAGAGGGAAAGGTGGGGGTTATACTTGTTCCTCCAGAGTCCAACTCTCACACCTGGCTCTTGCCATCCCCAGAGATGCCCCCCACCTACCCAAAGTCTCATTAGTACTAAAAATGTTTGGTTTCCAGAATAACAGGCCTGACATCCCAAGGATATTTCTTCCCTTCCTGCCCCACCCCTTCCCCAAATTACTGGCTGCTCCTTTCAAGCTAGGGAGGGTGACACAGAACACAGAGTTGCAAGGTTCCTGAGAGGTCACAGCCCTCATCCTCACACCAGTGGAGTGGAACAGAGATCAGAGGCCCTGCTTGCATGATGCTGTCCCTGCAGGGAACTGCAGAGCTCACTACCACACAAGGCAGCCAGTCTCAGATTGGGACAGCCTACTGTGCTAGAAAGTTCTTTCACTGAGCTGAAGTTTGTCTTTCTGTGGTTCCCGCTTGGTACCATTTATTCACTGAGTCAGCATTTATGGACTACCTGCCAGGCCTGGTTCTAGGAAGCGGGAGACAAAAATGAAGGAGACAGACACCCTTTCTGATCTCGTGAGATCAGAGTGGAGAAAACAGATGCAAAACAGAATATCACAGACAAATTCTAAATGGTTTTGTGATGCTGCCTAGAAGGATAGAGGACCAGGAGGTCATGGACCCAGTGTCCACCAGGGGCTGGGCATAAGCTGCTTTAAAGGCACAGAGTGGAGGAGCAGGGTGGAGGGATGAGGGGTGGGGGGATGGGAGCATCCATTTTGCTCTGTGGCTGGTACTTTAATCACGGAGGGTTCTCCATGTCACTCCTGTGCCCCCTCAGCCTGGACTGAGGACATGCCATCTTCCGGATGGGAGCATCCACTTTGCTCTGTGGCTGGTACTTTAATCACGGAGGGTTTTCCACGTCACTCCTGTGCCCCCTCAGCCTGGACTGAGGACATGCCATCTTGCTCCTCACTCTGAGTGGCAGTCACCATGCTCCTTGAGTGTGGCAGAGCCACCTCGGTG